AAGAATATATTTATTAAATATGAATCATTCAAAATAATTTAATATTAATCTATATTTATTTTTACTTGTAATAAAAATTCTGCATTGCTGCACGCATCTTCCGGAGAATCCATTTTTGTTGGATTTAATTCACAGCTCTGTTTACTTTCAATTAATTTCACTATGGTATCGCGTAAAGCGGCTTTCAAAAAAGAGGTACAAACTGATTTCATGTATAAATCCATTAACGTAGTTGTAAGACTAGCAGCTCTAAAAAGTGTTGGTGTTTCATCTTCTTTATCCACCTAAATAAAATAATTAATTATATTAATAAAAAAAAAAGAAAAACCTATTTCTTTATAAATATCAATATACATACTTCTGCTTGATTTAACGATCTCAAGAGATCTGCTTCTTTTCTTTCATGCCTAAATATAAACATTTCAAATTATAATCTTATTATTAAGAAAAGAAGAAAGAATATTTAATATGTTATATATTTTTGTTTATATACCTAAATATTCTAAGTAAACTATTTGCCAATGGTACTCTATCCAAGTGACAAACATCTGCTAATGCCCTAACAACATGCAGTTCTGGATCTAATAATAATTGTTGTAATGGACTATATTCTTCCGGAGGCATTGCTAGATCGTGCCGATACCTGCAATGTAATAAATGTAGAAAATATGTATAAACATTTGTATATTAATATCCTAAAAATGCAATATGCAATGTACAAAAAATTTTTTTCTTTAAAAAGAAAAAATTAAAAAAAATCTATATTCACCTTATCCGTAAACGAAGTACACCCCATTCGCCTATTGGAGTAAGGCCTGACAATGGATACCATTCATCCATTTCTTCCCCATTAGTTAAACTCGCCAATTCAACGGTCAATTCTGCCACTTCGGTATCTTTACTACGTTTTCCTTTATTGTACAATGTTAAAGAAAACGACATAACATCTGGTGGCACATCTCTATGGAACAATTTATGATAAATATTATTTAAATATCAATCAATATTTTACCAATATTTTAGATAAAACATATACGTACTCTAAAATGAATTCTTCATCCCAAATTGGATGCAATCCTGTTTTGACTTTTGTGCGAGCAACTTTTACATTGTTTAGAGCCACTATGATGAATGGATTCGGTACTAGTTTATATGGAAGTCTATGAGCATCTAAAATATGCAGATGTAATGAACGTAATTCACGTAGACGAGCAACTTTTGGAGCACGAGTAAGTTGTGATACACATAATGGTTTCAAGGCATTAATCCAGTCTAAAGCATTCTCTGAATTTGGAGCAGCCAAATATGTTATCGTGGCCAAACATGGTAAAGCACGTTCAACTAATTGAAAGCAATGAGGTCTATCGAACACGCTTTCATGAACCTAAAAAAACTACATCTGAGAAATGAATCTCAATAACAACTTAAACATTACAATCCTTACTTGCTGTTTTCAATGTTAGTATAATTACATACATACAACATATATATATTTTAAAGACAGTCTGAAAACTGACACAATCATATGGAAAAATGAAATATATTTTATGTTTATAAAATGTGTTATACCTGATATAAATAAGCACAGCTTAAATCGATAAGACCTTTAGGTTTGGTCCTTTTTGGATTGTCATACAAATACAAATGAGTATCAGTTGCATCCACTAAAAGTACAAAATACAATGCTTTCCATTTTTTATTTTTTTCTGATTTTTTTTCTAAATATCCTTGCATTTTAATCCCCTTATTTTTCTTTGCTCCAGATTGTTCCCGACATTCTCTAAGAGTTGCATATATTTTTTCTGCGTGTTGCACTTCTCTATTAACCCTTACACTACCATCAGGTTCTGTTACCATTGCTTGAACTAAAGTATGACCTTCAACTATTTGCTCTTTCCGATATCTACGAATATAAATATTTTCGTAATAACATATAGATATAAAAGTTGAATAGAAAAAAATATCATACCTGTTTATAACAGCATCAAGACATTCAAAAGTTCTACCACCCATAAGATAACGTACTCCCTTTTTTTCAATTCTAAATCTTTGAATTTGATTGTTTATATGAAAGAAAAGTGAATAATCTCCAGGACTATTATCTGAAGGTCTGACCTATACAATAAAATAAAAAATAAAGAAATTATTATTTTTAATCATTATAAATCATAAAGTTATATTACAACTTACCAAGAAACTACCAGGTCCTGCCTTCACCAACATGTCAACAGCTTCACTTTTAGTAACATTAGGATGAAACCAAGAGAACACAGTATTAGGATCAATGGAATCATCTAAATCCTCCACCAATTCACGAAAAATTAAGCCCTGTTCACCAGTTCTATGTGCAGTAACCCATAACCAACCATCTCCCATATCATTGTGCACAAAAAATATGTCACCCTTTTGAAAGCTTAATTCATCTGTATCAGGCATTTTTGTATATGGCAGTATTGCAACTATTCGCTTCTTATCATTCACTGGTTCAGGAGGTGGAGTAGGATGAATAAGTCTTTCCCTCTTTAAAAGATCTGAGCAATGAGTATAATATGCAACAAGATCTGATAAGCTATTGAACTGTCTACCTCCTATAATAAAATACATATTAATTCATCAGTTAAAACTATAAATATTCATTAAATTTAAATGTTTACAATACCAATATAATAATCTCCACACACAGCTGTAATTCTAAAATGATTAATGCCAGTTCTGCCTAAATAGGATAATACATAACTTCCAGGCTTTCTGTCACTTTCACGCACTAAATAACTGCCCATTTTACTTGCATCCCATAGTCTTTCTTCTGCAGTAAATCTATCTAATCTACCATGATACCATCTACAAATTATTCACTTATTAAGAATTTTACATTCATTAAATATCAAATATAATTAAAAATAATGTCTTTATTCTATGAATCAAAATTTTATTAATATTAAATCTCACTGATTTTCTGGTGGAGCTGTTAATAATGTTGCATTAGCACTATCAGGTTCTTCTGTATCTTGAATATCATCTGGTATATTTTCAAGAAAAGGATCAAATTCATTTTCTGCATTCATAGATTCATTCTGTCCACCATCTTCACTACCAGTGCTAGGAGAACCTCCTTTGCTATTGTGATCCATCTATAGATAAAATTTTTAAACATATTTATAACATAACATAATAAGAGAAATTTTTTTAATTTAAATATATACTATATAAATATTTTTATTTTTAAAATGTCATATTATATATCAAAGATAACATATAATACTTTTGTCAACAAAACGTAAATATTATGTTTACATATTTGTTTATAACTTCTTTTATATGCTTCTTTTATACCGCTTTTTAATTTTTTTATAAATATATAAACTTATGAAAAACATTATTCATAAATAATACCTTTGTCTAATAAGTACTTTTCCGTCGAAATATTTAAAAAATAATAAAGAATTTATAAAAATCTTTAAAATTTTAAAAGTTATAGCAAGTTTTTAAATATATAATTGTATTTTATTTCTTTCTATCGAATTTTTAATAATGTGATGATATTAGATGAATAAGTAGAATGAATAATATTCGTACATACCTTAGCACTGTTCGACACGCTCGGACCTCCACGCACAAATTCTGCCATTTTCCGTTCACACACACTCCTTCATACACACGACTATGAAAAGGAAACTAAAAATATTAATTGAACGGCATTCGTTTTATTGCAATCCTCCTTACCACGATTATTTACAAAAGTACGCTGTTATTGATATAAAATGTATTGACGTTTTACGGCAGCCATTTTACTACTGCACGCGTTGATCGTAGAGTATATAGAGGGAGTCTGTCTTATATTTATCATAAACTTTAAATATTCTTAAATACTGACAACATGTTTCTATAATTATTCATTTATCATTTAATTCAAAGATAAATATTTTACGTATCAAATAACGTTTCGTTTAAAAGCACTCTTACAATTAATAAACCATTAACATAATGGATTTATATAGATGATTAAGTTCGCTAATAATAATTGTTCTTATTTTTAAATATATTATCGGTATTCTTCGACAATAGATAATATACATTTTTTAATTAAATTATAATATAAAATTAAGTTAATCATTTATATAATTATAAAAATAGTTTTATATTAAACACTAATTCTTCTGAAAAGTTTTCGTTTCTTATATATTCATTCTATTATGGCGAAATTTTGTTTTGATCTACGTGAAGTTATTTCTTGTATGCAAATTGATCATTTACAATAATTCAATATCAAAACTTATCGTTATTAAATCATAATGGTAAGATGATAAGTTTTCGAATTGTATAATTTACATTTTAAATATTTATTTTACTATTGATCATAAACAATTTCTAAATCTTATAACTTTTTATAACCTCTTTGACATTCAAAAAGAATGCGTTAAATCAAGTAATTTTTTTTTAAAATCTTTTTTTTTGGGGGGGGACATAGTCTGCCCTATTTAACTTTCAGAGTCTATTGACGGTAATTTTGTTATTGATATGTACCTGTACTTACATTAGATCCATTGTTCCCAGTTTATTGGACAGTCGATTAGGAAAAGTTGGGTATGTATACTTTATGATAATTTTATTATATATATATATATATAAAATACATTAATATAATAATATTAATATATTATTTTTAGTTTTCAGGGTACTCTTTGGAAGTGTGCTAGAATTGGCGAAAGAAAAAGTCCATATGTGGCAGTGAGTTGCCTTCTTATGGCTTTCAATATTTTGTTTTGGTCATAATATTATAAAAAAACTATCGAATAAAACTAAAATTCAAAAAAATATATTCTGTATAAGGAAAATGGTGTAAATTGTGGATTTGAATGTAAATAAAAAGTAAGTTTATTCAATTACTATAAATAAATGTATATATTTGCATTTGAATTTTTATCATTTAAATCATTTAAATGACAATGGAAATTATTTATAAATAATTTAAAATGGAAAAAAAATAACTAACATCTCTACTAGTTGCATGGTATGTTTTATTTGTCAACATGTTGGTTTCTCCAAAGCTATATAATTATCCAATTTGAGCACATTTTTCATCATATTTTTATAATATATTTTTTTTTTCTATAAACAACAACATTCTTTTATTATAGTTATTGTAAAGTCGTTATATTGAGCAGTGTTTTACGATATACAATATTTGTTAAATAAATGTATTTAACATATGTGTTTTCTTGTTTATTTCGCGAATAAATACTATTATATTATTAATAATAATAAGCCACGCATTGAGACTAAAGTTTGTACTCTGTAATAGAAGACATTCATGATAATAACGGTACAAGAAGAAAGCTTCAACGTTCTCGGATTAAAAATGTTATCCGGTAAAAAACATTGAGACTTTCTAATCGCACTATTTCGCAAATAGATCATAATTACAGAGTAACGTATGAATTGCGGTTTTGCGAGGAACATTGACAAATGATAGAAAGCACAACCTATTAGGAACGCTTATTGTCGATTTCTCGAAGGAAAATTATTTTCTTCGTAATATTATCACAAATAATTTATATAAAAAATACGTATTATATAATATATATGTATATATAGATGTATATGGGAATTAAAAAAAAAATTGAGAAAGAAGAAAAAATGAAAAAATATTAAATAACGATAAATAACGATAATCAATCGATTACGAGATACATATATGAAAAATGGTTTAAAGATGATCGCGTGATAAAATTTAAATAGATTCCTCGCAGTGAACCCGATTGATTATACTTATGATTGTGGTCTCGTTTAATCGTTGGCATATGAGGTACGTTATTTGTGTCTACGGATAATTAAAAAAATACATAAAATAATAAAAGTAAGGTCTAATATCTTTCTAAAATATATATAATACCGTATTATGCGCCCTACGGATATGAATCTTAGATATGACGTGTTTAACATTCGTTAAGATGCCACTTACAATCTCAATTCACTCTGTTATCGTACCGATAAATAAAGATATTATCTCATTACCCCTTACGTACAAATTAGTATGCTAATTATTTGTCTGTGTTCGAGTATAATCGAATAGTTGATTAAACAGCATCAATTCGCGATAAAGCGCGATTCTTGCAGAACTTGGAAATATAATTAATCGTTGATAATAATTATATATATTACGACGTAAAGAGATATTATAAAGGATGTTCATTTTAATTGGATCGCCACTGCCATTGTTGAAATAATTCCGAAGTGTGGACTAATCAATCGAAAGTATAAGTTTTTTTCCTCGTATTTGTCGAACGATGATCTCGTGAATGACACTGGTGGCCCACTTGAGATAGACACCCTGCATGTGTAAGGCTTTCGATGCTAAAGTTATAAAAATTACATCGTAACTTCTAATAATTCCACAAATCGTAAATAATAATTTTCAACGAGAAATCTTGTATTTCTTTCACTTTGTTCATTGTTAAAAAAATACTCGACAATGTTACATTTTATTATAGTCGAACTAAAGAACACACTTCGCTCACGACTTTATTCTTTTCCCCGTATTCCAAAACGGATAAAAGGGTCATAAAAAATACATTCGTAAGCATTTATCTTTTCAAATTCGCAACATTATTCGCCACGAATTATTATCTTGGCGAAAAATATACATCAGAGAGAGGAGGGGAGGGGGCGGGGGGTCGATTTGTTCGCTGTATCGTCGCTGGAAATGAAACGAAATATGAACTTTGAAAATCGCGGTTATTTCTCGACGATTCGCAATCGTTCGATCTCTCGTTCACTCCAATACGCGTGAAACGCGAACGAACACCCGTAATATTTGCATTTCGTTCGTCTAACGTATCGACAGAGTTCTTCTCTCGCGATCATTCTGATTGGTTGATAATATTTATCGAATGGTAAGGAAGAAGAGGAAGCAGACGACATAAACTCGCATACCGCTATCGTTCTTCGCATTGGCACAATTCCTCTCGTTCGAGATGTCGCGATTCTTGAATAAGTTCTCGTCTTTGACGAAAGGCGCGCGTGGATTTACCGTTGTCGAAGTGATCGTGTGTTTGCTGTAAACGATTCTCACGGTACTTTTTTGCATCGCTGGTGTACTCATCTGATGAAAAACTCGATTCTTAGTAACTTGAGCAAACTTTGATTTTCCCTTGCTCAACTTCCAACTGGCCGAGGTGGTCCGTATGGTTGCTCGTTCGATTTCTGAAAACATTTCCCCTATATCGTGTATCGTGTAACGAGAAGAAAGATTCGAAGTGGAGGGGGGCATTCTTAGATTCACGTGCAAAAACGAATGATGGCACGTGAACGTTGTATAAAGTTCGATATCGAAGTTTGTTGGTTATTCGAGTGGATGGTTCGAAAGAAGGGCAAGAGTCGCGTGATGTCAGTGTCAGGGGAATTTTCCATGGAATGGCAGTCGTCGAAAAATGACAGTGTTCGTCGATCGTATACGTATGTGCCGACTCACCGTAAACCCTAAGGGTAGCCTCGGCTTTTCCCATGCTTGAGGACGCTGAACACGTGTACTCTCCCAAATCCGTTTTCTCTAAACGGCTTATCTTCAGTTCGCTCGTTGTCTTCCATTCTTCGTCCGGATGTCCCCGTTCGTCGATTTCGTATCTACCACTGTGTTGACACATCGCTTAACTTTACTGTTCGAGAGTACATGTGTGTGTGCGTGGAATCGATTTCGCGTCTCGGTCATATTTGGACGACACGTCGTGGATCTCACGCGCCGCGCGTTAATCGTAAAGAAACACGTAAGTAAGTGTAGTAGACGTTCTGTGATAACATACCCGCTCATAATAACTTGTTCCTTTCTGGTCCACAAGTTAATCGTCTTTGGATAAGCTTCGATCAAACAGACCAACGATACGTTCGTGTCCAGAGGTGAGCTTAATATTTGATTGGGAACCTTTGCGCTAGGTGGAACTGAAATCCCAAAAAGCAAATAAAACAAATATATCTCCGATCGATTCGATCGATCTTATCCTATATAAGCATCGCGAGAATAATATCATCGAGGATTCGAAAAAGTACTCACAGTTTACCCTTAGATAGACTCTTTTGCTGACTGCCGGGGGCACTTCGTTTTTCGCTATGCAAAGATAAGCTCCCATTTGCTTCCTGTCCACTCTTGTTAATTCCAGCTTCTCACCGGACTGGTTGTCCACTATAAAATCTCGCATCGTATGAATATCTGGTTGAAAGCTCTCGTATACATATCGCTGGCCGGTTGCCAACGTTCGCAACTACACCAAATTACACGCGAAATACGTCCTTTGCGTTAAAACAACGAGACCACCGCCTATTACGATGCCGCCTAAATCTCATTACACTCGTTAACGAGGAATCGGACGAATGATTTAAGGATGAATTATCGGTAAACGGGAGTGACACGGTACGTCGGGCAAAAATATGCTAATTGAAACGTACAACCGACAAGTATTCGCCAACTACTATCGCGAATATGATAAATCGATACTTCACGAAAACCGCGCGAAGGATCCTATCGTAAAATTCCTGGGAAAATTGCGCGGCAAGAGCGTGGAGAAAGTTGACGATCGTTTATCGTATTATCGTTTAATTATGCGTGTATACGTACGCAACGCTTTCGAAATCGACCAATCCTTCCGTAATTAAATTATTATCGAGGAAATCGCGGACGACACAAATCGTCGAGCGTATCGTCTCATCACGTACCGATAAAACGTGTCAAACTCGCCTAATGAGATCCATCGAAAATGGAAGATTCATTATTCGCGTTGACAAGTTTCGATCTACTCTCTCTCTCTCTCTCT